GGAATATATATAGACAGAGGACACAGGGTGAGTTGAATATGAAGAGATGACATCTAAAAAAGAAAATTAAGGGGTGAGAGAGGAATGTGCTGGGAGAAGGAGAAAGGGAGATGTAGAATGGGGTAAATTATCTCACATAAAAGAGGCAAGAAAAAACAGTGGAGGGGATGAAAATGGAGGTGAGAAGGAATGAGTGAACTTTACTCTCATCGAATTTGGTTTAAGCAGAGAATAACACACAGTCAATTGGGTATGGAAATCTATCTTACCCTACAGGAAAATAAGGGGTAAGGGGATAAGAGAGGGAGGGGTGATAGAAGGGAGGACAGATTGGGAGAGGGAGTAATCAGAAGCAAACACTTATGAGAAAGGACAGGGACAAAGGAAAGAATAGAATAAATTGGGGTCAGGATAGGATGGAGGGAAATATATTAGTCTTTCACAACATGACTATTATAGAAGTGTTTTGCATGACTGCACATGTATAGCCTTATGTCAAATTGCTTGACTTCTCAAGGATGGTGGGTGGGAAGGGAGAAGGGGAGATAATTTTGGAACTCAAAGCTTTAGAAATGAATGTTAGAAATTGTTTCTGCACACACCTGGAAAATAAGATACACAGGCAAAGGGGTATTGAAATCTATCTTACCCTACAGAAAAATAGAAGGGGAAGTAGATGGGGATAATAGAATAGAATAGAAGTAGAAGGGGATAATAGAAGGGAGAACAGATTGAGTGAAAAGGGAACCAGAATGCAGGCCTTCGTGGGGTGGGGATATGAGATGGAGAGAAAATTTGGAACTCAAAATCTTGTGGAAGTAAATGTTTAAAACTAAAAATAAATAAATAAATTGGAAAAATAAAAAAATAAAATAAGAAAACATCTGAATGGGATTTGAACTCAGATCTTCCTGACTCCAAGTCCAGTACTTTATTCACTGCACTATCTGCCTGTCTTGATACAGATGGCAATCTTTCAATGCCCTCTTGAGGAAACTCCTGTCCATGTCCTCCTGTAAATCTTCCATAGAGGTCTACCCAGTGTGCTGGGGGTCTTGCTCCCTGTATCTTGACAATCTATCACTTTATTGTTTGCTCTTACTATATATTCAGCCCAGTTTCTTTCCTTATCATACATTGCCCTGGCAACTTGACTCTGCTCTTGCTGCCACAGTTCTTCACTGGTAATATGTTGTATCAAATACAGACCTATAGTTTATATTTCCATTCCCCTTTGGTGGTGACTTAAAAATTTAACTGGACAGAAACTATGGTTTTCCATGAATACCCATTGAATCACTGGAAAGTACTTGGATAAGTAGGTGATGCAGGAGATAGAGCGCCGGGTCTGGAGCAAGGAAAACCTGAGTTCAAATCCCACCTCGGCCACTTACTAGTTATTTAACTCTGGACAACTCTCTTAATTTCTGTTTATCCCAGTTTCCTCAACTATAAAATGGGACCCCTGTCTTGCAGAGTTGTCCTGAGGATCAAACAAGATAATACATAAATAAGCTATTTGTAAAGCTCTTA